TCATTTACGGGGTGTGGTCCAGAGCTAAAAGTGCCCACCATTTGCTTAATTAATGGCAGACATGGCCGGCCGGCCTGCCCCACAAACTGACCGGCCCACACCTTGCATACGGCTCTTCCTTGCAAAACAGGAGGCTTCGTAAAGAATCATTGACTGGGTGTGGTCCAGTGCCGAGAGTGCTTACTTGATAGGAAGGATGGCAGGTCCAACTTTACCGACGGCGTAACTGACCGGACCACACCTCGCGGATGGCCCGGACTCCAGCAGGAAAACGGCGCTCACCTGACCCATGGTCGCTCGCCGCGGACGCGGCACGTCCTCCCCAAAGTCAGATTCGTCGAAGCAGCCATCGTCTTCAGGCTCTGGCGGGTCGTTGCAACTGGCCGCACTGTCACCAGGCACGGGCTCATTGCCCCTACTCTGCTGCACCTCCTCGTCCAACCCAGTAGTGTCGCTCTGCCTTGCCCAGACGTCGCCGTTCTCACCCGAGGACTCCGATGATGAGAGCAGCACTTGGCGGCGGCGCCTGGTTTGTGAAGAGCGGGCTGACCGATCGAAAACCCGCCGCTTGCGCAGAGCCGGAAGCTCGTCTGACCCAGAATCCGTTTCCATTGCGGCGGGCACCAGCTGCCGATCCGCCTGGGTCCCCGCCCAACGCCCGTTGCTTGCAGTACACCCAGACACAGCAGAAGACTCCGACCGTGAGGGCCGGGAACGGGCTTGGATCGCTTTCGTCGCCTGCCCCCGCGCTCGCGGCTTGAAGCGCCGACCCAGAAGCTGAGAAACGTCCGATTCGGAGTCGGATTCCAGGGCGGCGCGAATTCTGCCTTGGGCCATCACCGAGACCTCCTCGTCTTGGCTTTTGTCGTCGATCATCTCGCGATCTTGGGATGTCTCTTCGTCCGGAGTTTCGTCCACGCTCTCGAACTCCGCCCCCTCAATGTCCTCGCCCTCTTCTTCCGATCCCGACCGCTCGAAACCGGACTAACTGGCCGCACTTGTCGCCAACCGAAGGTTGCCGCCGCTTTCCTGGACAAAAGATGGGAATTTCGTCAGCGATTGACCAAGAGACGTCCTTATGCAAATCAGGGCCGAGTGCATTCTGTGGAAGCAAGACCGGCCGTCGGACGAACTGCTGATGCGGTCCAGAGTTATAGTCGAAAATCTCAGATTCTCCTTGTAGCGGGTGGCATCCGACCATCTGGAGCCAACCCGATTTTGAAGATGTCGCGCTATCAAGAGAGACATGCGAGAAACAGTAGACGAGTTCAACGATCTCCTTTCCAGTCACTGCCTGACAAGCATCACAGCCGCCCAAAATCTAAGCACAATAGCATTGCCGAATTGCAATTCTTGCCCAAGAAGCGAAGTTCAAATAGAGCGCTTTCAAGAACGTGGCAAGGGATGTGTGTGGCCTTCCCCAATGTTGAGATGCGTGCAACTTATACAGCTTGACCGAGCTCCAGTCACTTCTCACCTCTGTTGTGGTGCCGCAAACCACGTTCTCGACTGCGGCGCCTGTTATCCCTCGCACCGATCGCCGGTCCTCTGCATCCGCTCCATGGTCTTCCACCTGAAAAGAAAACAATGACATTCGGTAAGAACTATGTTGAGCTCGCCACCACAATACCATCTCCAACGTTATCCCAACCAGGACGGGCAGAGAGACGTTGCAGCACTTCATTGTTTGTCTAAAAGAGCATCGTCGCCTGATCTGATCCGTGCATCTGATCAGATGCGCAGCAGATCTTGTCAAAACGAAAGGTTGGCCTTTGCTTCTCGATGTGATCATGATGAAGAAGTATAGGCTATTTTAGCACGGTTCTTTGCCCTTCGGCCCTTCTCCAACCCTTTCAAAAGACACGAAGTACTTGGCTCTGTAAGTCAAGAGAAATGCATCTGTGACACTCCCTGACAAGGTGCTAGAGCAATGAAATGAGGATTCGAAACTTACCAGGGCAGTCAGAAGACCCTCTTCTATCCTGTCCTGATAGCTGAGCTCTCTCTGAAGCGAATCCTTCGCCGCACACGGCATCCCTTCCGTGAACCCCGGCCTTTCAATCGCCCTGGGGACCACGCGGTCAGATGCTCGTGAGGCGATGTCTCCCTCCGGATCCGCACGTCTGGCGTCCACGTGAAATGTGGAGAGATCAACAGGTTAACTAAAATGCCTAAGCTGAACGGGGTGCTGTGCGCAGCTTTCTTGGCGGCGGAGTATTAGCGGATTCGCTGTCCTTCTCGATTGACCTGCAAAAAGTCTTCGAAAGTCATACTCATGCTCATTGGAGAGCTATGAGTGGCCAACGACGAGCGCTGAAAAACGTGTTCGATCACCGTGTCATGCCTATGCGCCTTGACTGTGCCAGCCGCTCACCTGCTTGCAGAGCTCCGCATGCTTTTGCCACTTCTCAAACGCCTCAATATCACACTGAACAACGTGCTGAGCAGGTGCCGGCCGCCAGCTCCGTGCGACATCCTGCACAACAGCCTCTCGCCCTGAGTACCACTAGGTTTCGGCTCGAGTATACGAGTTCAAATGACGCCCTCTTTCCAAAATCAGCATAATCTCTGATAGTCTCTAGCAACGCTTTGAAGCACAGCATTGCGCTTGTGAGTCGTGTGCTATCACAGAACCGTGCTGCGAGTTGTTGTGTCGGGATGGGCTCGTCCTCACCTCTCGAGAGGGCAAAATCACAAGCTGACGACGAGGGCGGACATCAGGGACATGTGCGTCCTTATTCTCGTTCCACTGTGACAGGGACGCTGGCCACCCGGGATTGCTTTCGACGCCCCCAATCAGCAGAAGCTTTGCTGCAAGAGGATTGCGAATGATGGTCAGGCAAGCCGAACCGGCCATCCGGGGCATAAAGAAGCAAGTGGCATGCACGCATTTGTTCAAAGGACCACATCCTGTCAAAGATTGTAAGGAACCCCGCTCTCAGCACTGTAAGGTCACGTGCAAGGTATGGGTCAGCAGGTCAGACCGGCCATCCGGTCATGGACCACACCTTGTCAATGATCATAAGGAAAACCACTTTTTGCACTCAAAAGCCATCTGCAAGGTGTGGTCCAGCAAGCCAGACCGATCATTCAGGTCGTGAAGAGCGGAAAGCGTACCCACTGTTGCGACTGGACCACACCTTGTCAAAAGTAATAAGGAATCCCACTCTCAGCTGCTCGATGCCATTTGCAAGGTGTGGTCCAGCAAGTTTGACCGTCATCTGGGTACTGCCCAAGCTTTGTCACTTTCCCTCATGTACACAAACGTCAAAAGACGGGCAGCTACAAGCAGAAGATCGAAACTCTTTCAAGCCATGACTCACCAATGAGATTCCTGCTCTTGGGGGTCGCGTCCCAGCAAAAACTATTACGCTGATATACGTCGCATGCTGTGAAAGAAGGGCAAAATGAGTCTCGTTGGCACGTGAGCCTGCGGGCAAGCTTTGCAGCGACCTTTCGATGTGGGCATCGGAGCTCAACGGGTTTCAAGCTTTCAGAATAAGGACAGAACAAAGCCTAAATCAAGCGAAGCCCATCAAGGTCAAATCGTGCACGGTTCTTGCCCTTTGCCTGTAGAATCTCACCATGTTCCCTCCTCAGCTCTGCGTCCTCGTCAAGCGCCTGCGCCAGCTCTCTCTTCACCTTGCGCACTTCGCAAACACGTGCCCACTCTGTGAAAAGGCACGAAGCACATGCCTTTGCAACGAGTGCTCAGATGCAAACAATCGCAGTCTTGTGGACAACAGCCAGTATGCATACAGACTCTCGAGATCTGCATCTCAAATTCGCATGGTTGCAGCTGGCACAGTGATTCGAGGGCCAAGTAGCTTGATGCAGAGGCAGCGCTATGGCGGGTGCATAGGGCTCACCTGCCCGGGTCTTCTCCAACTCGAAGCCGCCAGGATTGCCAGGATTCTTTCGCTCAAAATGCTTCTTGCAGAAGCATTCAAAACCGCCCCCTCCCTTGCCCCCTCGCCGGGCAAAGATCGCTGGGGAGCTGCAGTCTTTGCAGAGGAGGCCGTATGGAACTGCAAAAAAAGCACGGAGAGCTGCAGTCGGGATCGGACCCAAGTGAAACACTGGCAACCCACGTGGGTGTAGAGGCTCACCTTCTCCTATCCCAGGACATGCCTTGCTGCAAGAGCTTTTGATTCAAGTGCAATCGCAAAAGCTCAAGAGCCCTGAATCTGACTTCTGCAAA